AATTTCGATTTAAAGCTTTCGTGACTGCAAGGATTCATCTTCTTTGGTTCTTTCGGTAAAGTCACGTAGAATGAGAATAAAATAATAAAATAACACAATAAAATTCTCACGACGTTTAGGCCACAACGCAAGCGGCCGTCTTCAGGTGAAAGGTACAGACCTGTTGGGACGACAGAGCTTCAATAAACGCTGAAGGTCTGTACCTTTCACCTGAAGACGGCCGCTTGCGTTGTGGCCGAAACGTCGTGAGAATTTGATTGTGTTATTTCATTATTTTATTCTCATTCTACGTGACTTTACCGAAAGAACCAAAGAAGATATTACATACAACTTGTACAGACATAAAAACATAGATCAATTCGATGCACATGACATGAGGCTTCAGAATCCACATCGAAGACTCAATGCACCATTACATCCATAATGATAGCAAACTTGTTACAGTGCTTCCTTATTTATTTAAGCTACATGTTGTTGCTAAGTAACCAATAAAATCAAATAGGGGGAGGGAAATAACATAACTTATTTTTAGTACCTATCATATTTAGCACATAACTGTGGTTATCTTAAAAGAATGAACGTATCGTATATGTACAAGGCGTGAGAGGAGGTTAAGCAATCGGAGACAAGGTCTCATTGTTTGAAACTTGAAATTCCAGTATGGGCCTCATCCAGTTGCTTTGTAAAATGTTTGCAGCCAAACTTCAACAATCACTCGGCACACTTGAAACTGTCAATTCCAGGTAATGGATTAACATTTTCGTCATTTATTTTTTGGCATTTTGGCTACACGTATATGCTTCACATGTCTCACATTCCATTCCTTGAATTGTTAAGCGTTCAACAAGAGTGACTTCAACTCCGAGAGCAGCAATGGGCATTTCTCTGATGGTTCTGAAGAATTCCTGAACTTCTGCATTATGAATGCAAAGCTTTAGCCTCAAGGCCACTTTAGAATAGAACAGTCAAATAGCCTTAGCAATCAGCATAAATGAGAGCCAATCGCTGAGTAATGTTTAAAGCTCAAAACCAAATTATCATGAATTCGAAAAGCGACATTAAACACCACGTGATATGAGATGTACATATACGGCGCTGAGACTTTTTTTACTTCAATATATTATTTGTACGTGCATATTGGAATTCATAAAAAGACATTCCCAATACATCTTTAAATTCAACTTGAGTTTGTTCATTCATGAAAGTCAAAGTGACCAACTGATCAATAAGAGCATGGCAGTGGTAGAAGGCAAAAGAGCATGAGGCAGTGGTAGAATTTCAACATTCCTATGGCAAGGGCAAAATAATATTTTGGACAACCGCTGTTGACTCTCAACAAAGATCCTCCATATAGCCTTTAGCAGACTGTTTGGGCAAGCGCTGTTAGCGAGCACCTATAAAGGCTGGCAAAGCCGGCACACGTCCTTTATAGAGGTGGGTGGCCAACAGCACGCCCGGCTTCTTTGTCTCCCCAGTGGTGATGTTTACACACTACACGAGGTACTCATGGGAGGCTGAGTCGACCGAGGGGGGCCTCAGGACCACACTCCGTGTGTGTTGAGAGTGAGGAGCTTCACAACCACAGCATAACGTGGCCACTCTGCAGAAATACGGTTACAGTGCCGTAATCAGCCAAACGAAGGGATTGCCTGCGTTTTTCAGCCACAATCTGGTGAGCCAGACACACTCAACTTGAGAGTCTGGATGATTGCATTCACAACACCTGACATGCAATGTGAAACTGCTTTCCTTGTTAGTTGTGCCTAACAAAGAAACGTTCACGTAGAAAATCAACAGAACACTAAAAAAAACCACACGAATGCGTAATTCATGGAAGGAATTTTTTTCCGGCGCGACAGGTTATCGCTTTCCCGCTTCATAAGATGCTCTTCAACATTGATGTGCGGTCTTGTCACTTGGAATTTAACTAGAATACAATTTCTCTCGTTCCCGTTTTAACGGACCCAGTATGACAACAGTTTACAGGAAAAACACAACCTCGTTCCGTGCTGGCAGGCAGCCAAACGCACAAGTAAACACGCGAGGCAATGCTGGCCCAGGCCCGCGAATGGATAATGAGACGTCATTCGTCTACATGTCTTTACATTTTGGTAACTCGTTTTAGATTTTCTCACCCATACACATAGGTGGTGTGATAGATTACGTTTCAACTTTTCAACTTAACAGAAAGTTAAATTGCAATCATTAACACTGTATATATATAGCTCACGTGCACGTGCGATATTAATGTAAATATAAGTCGCTATTAATGATTATTTTTCATACACATACATGATATATTATACGTAATAAGGTAAATTATTTACATGTGTTCTTAAGTCTGAGTTCATTGAGAGTTTAACCTTGCGGAGAAATGGTATGAGCAAGCATCTGCTGAAGTTTCACCTTCGGTAATGTCATTTAGCAGCAGACTGTTAAATTATTTTAAAACCAATTACCTTATCTGCATTGCGCAATGGATAAAACATCGAGAAACATTGTGTCATCAGATATTCATCATGCTTGGGGGTATTTGCTTTACATATTTAATCCACTTCACGTTGAATTCTATCACGAAAATTTGCAACGGCATGGAAGTGTCTCAAATACGAAGTGAGGAAGTGTCAAATATAAAGAGTCCATCCATCACAAATGTCCATCCCCAGCTAATTAGTGCATTTCCTGCATTCCGATACACTTGGTGTGTAAGTACGTTCCAGTTAAAAAGACTGTTACAACACAATTGATGCTAGCCTGGTCTATATATTTCCTAAACCTGTTTTCTCAGTGGCCAATAATCAAGGCTATAAATGTCAAGATGTGCTTTTCTCATCGTTTACTGATTTCATCATTGTTGGCATTAGCAGAGCTAATGGACCCCGGAGTGTAGATGTTGGGGACGACTCCACATGTACGGTTTCCAGAGGCAGATATTTCCAGCAGTGAGCTTTGGTAACTTTACTGTACCGATGGGTGTTGATCAGGACAAAACTGGTCCATAGCTGTCTCTGCATCTCTGCTGGCTCTCAGTCCGTCACATTAACTCACGTAAATTTTGATGGTGACCTCCGGTACCAAAGAAGTTATGCATACATCTGCAGAGGCTGTATGCTGCTATTTACACATCTTTACACGCTGTTTGAAAAAATATTTCTTCGTGGCACAGTTAATTCAAGACACAGACATTGCAGTAAATCCTTTAAGCAATTATTTTTTGCCTGCAAGTTTTGAGCAGCCCCTTTGAGCACTTTGGCTGGTATTCTATCGCATTTCAGACAGACAGAAAAAGTTTATGCATTTAACCTTAGTTGGAAAGCATAACAAAAAAATCCAGAAACGCAATTATACTTTTTCCATGGCTCCAGGCTACGGTATCAAAAGGCATTTGATTAATAGAACCTTACATTGTTCATATATGTCCAATGCCTTGTTTGATTAATAGAAAAAAACACTGACTGACTCACATGTGGGAAAAATGCAGTGTATTTTTCAAACCTTGAAAGCTCTTACCACACGTCACTTGCTGACTTTTGGATATTCAGTGAAATATTTTTTGAAAAACCTATAAATTGTGACAGACAAGGATGTGATTAAAATGACAGGAAGTTAAATAATGCTCCATATAGGGTTTGGGTGAAGGTGAAGATAATGATCAGGACTAGAGCTCAGCAAGAAACACACCCCTTGATTGATGACAGAGGCAGGCCACTTGACATTTGCTCTTTGCAGAAATAGTTGTTTTATGGCCACATTTTTTTCTCTCACATTTATTAAGACGCAAATCTTGCAGTGCAAAGTTTGTTAAAGGCATCTTTTTTGGCAAATGCGACTTTAAAAGTGTCCATTGTGTTCTGCAACCAAGCTTCAAGGTCACTCATCCTCGAAGAAGAATGAATCAGAAACGTGGACATGACAAACAAAATGGAATAAAAGCTGAAGAGTGTGCAAAGAAGCATGGCGAGGTGGATGATTGAATTACACTAAGATATTGCAATAGGAATTCATAGAGTAGAGATCACAAGTTAAATACATCACATCGACTGTTAAGACAAGTGGGCTTGAGCAAGAAACGTTTCAGGAAGGGATGATGGAGGGGACGGGATCGTAAAGGACTTCACTCAGGAGGCCTTCATCCAGCGGTGAATGAATGATGATGATAATGATAAATGAGCCAAGATTGAGTTGTCATTGATAAGTTTTACCGTAAGGCACTAGTGGGAGCTCAAAGCAGGTTTCTGTCGGCGCAGTGGAAGAGCCCGTTCCTCTGATTTACTATCTCAGACCACAGCCTCCAAAACCCCAAGATTAATGGGGGAGGGGGGAGGAAGGGCGGGGCTTAATTACATCAGCAGATTCTGTGGTTACAAATGTTGGGTGGGATTTATTGTCATAATGACAAAAACAGAGCAGCACGTTTCCTAAATTACTGTAAAGTGGTAAGTTTGGATTTAAGTGTGGATGTTTCTGGATAACCTTCGAACAAAGACGACCACTGCATCGCGCGCTTTCAGATGCGCTTCTCCGGCCGTCTGGAATGCTCTTCCTTCCAATATTAGGAAGCCACTATGCACTTTTTAATTCTCGATTGAAAACTAATTTCATAAAAACTGCTATTTATGTTCTGTTTGTTGTCCTTCCCCCGCACCTCCATAACCTTGACAGACTGTTGGGGTAAGTGCTGTTAGCGAATAGCACCTATGAAGGCCAGCATGGCACACGAAGGGGGTGGGTGGCCAGCACCTCGTGGAAATATTTAAAAGACCGCACCAGATACCCATTTGAGCCTGAGCCGACCTACGGGAGGCCCAAGAACAGTTCAGATAATCATCACTGGTGTTGGCCTTGAGCGGGAATCGAACTCGGGAAGCCGGGTTCATAGCGCAGTGCGCTAACCTCAACACTACTGTTCCCCATACATACATATACATGCATACATACAAACCATGCGTGCAATTTGCATAAATTGGTGCTCCATAATCTCCCAAGAGCTTGTGCCTTACCTCGAGCACAGGTCCTGCTCCGAGGATGGTCTGCTCCACACCGCTGGCGTATCCCTTCTGGCTCAGCGCCGTCAGGTGGTGGATGAGGAAGTTGGTGCTCTGCGTTTTTCCGGAGCCGCTCTCGCCCGAGATGACGATGCACTGGTTGGTCTTCTGGCGCAGCATCGCGTGGTAGGTCGTGTCGGCCACGGCGAAGATGTGCGGCTCCTGCTTGCCCAACTCGCGGTTGTCGTAGAGCCGTACGTATTTCGGGTTGTAGATCGGCAGAAACTTGAAGGGGTTCACCGCGATGAGAATGGTGCCGACGTACGTGTAGATTTTCTCCTGCTTGAAGCGCACGCGCAGGTTGTCGAGCAGTGTGCGCTCGTTGAGGTCTGGCAGGCGGCACAGGTCGTCGTAGTCCTGCTGCGGGGGCTGCGGCAGGAACCCGCGCTCCACCATGCGCCGCCGCTCCTCCGTCACCTTCATCCACGAGTCCAGGGGACCCTCGTAACGGATGGAGCCATCCATGTTCTTCTCGCGCAGCAGGAAGCGGTAGTCCTCGCGCGACTTCATCGGCTGACACTGCTCGTCCAGCGCCCTGCGCGGCCACAGCAGCATGCGCTGCGCGGGGCAGTCGGTGGGATTCAGGATCCATTCCTCGCCGCCCGACTCCTTCACCTCAGCCAGGACGTAGCAGGTTCCCCGCTCCAAGTGCAGCTTCTCGATGAGAGTTTGGATCACCTCGGCCGCCGTGGTCCCACGCTGCGCCAGCACGGGGCAGTAGATGGTGTCTTCTGAGATGACGCCAGGGTAGATTCGCAGGGTGCATTCTTCTCGCTCCAGTCTATTAAGCCTGTTTCCTCCAATGCCCCCTCCGGAGTCATACGTAATACTCATGGTCACCCCTTGCTTCGTGCTACCACTGCCTGTCTTCTTTTCTCCAGCACATCAGCTTCTGATTATTGTTTTCCCAAACCTAAAGTAAAGAAACAGAAAAAAAGTTCAGGAATGGTTGAGCACCATTGCCGGTCAAATATTATAGGATGTGTATCTACCAAATGTTTTAAAACTATTTTATTACAATGGCAAACCACGTTACAATATAAACCATTAATTAAGTGCGATACATGTATAACAACATTTTTAAAAAACACAATATATGCATAAGCTGCAACAAGAAATACACTGACAAATGTGCAAAGCATGCTTTGTTATTCAACGTGATTGGTTTGCCGATAAACAAATATAAATTGACACATTTGCGAACGTAGCAACTTTATTTGTTTGGCTTTGTTGGGTGGTGGATGAGTATAGCTTTAATTGACCTTGTACTTTCACGATCTGACCCAAAATAAACCGACTATGAATCATATCGGTCACGAGAGTTTACATATAGACAAAAAATTGCAATATTTCTTGTCATTTTAAGAGCTATTTGTCAATGTTGATATTCATGGCCAAATAATACTCACGCAACAAAAGAGAACACTGCTTCACGAGTTAAAGTGGGTTAACACGATGAAAAATAACAGCCAAATTAGCCTCCCTTAAGTGACATCACAGGCGTGTAAGGATTTTTACTGTACTCGCTAGGTTGAACTTTAAAAGTTCACATGAACGTTAAGTTAATTGACAGCCAATAAAGGTTTAGGTGGGAGCAAAGGGGGGGGGGAGGCACAGAGCCCAAGGGGTCTGCAGCAATCGTCACGCATCACGTGACCTGAACGTTAAGTTCCACCGCGGCGGTGGTGTGAACATTGTAATTAACGCAGGCCAAAGAAATTCCAGTGTGCGCCCACCCTGAGCCTTGTTGCAATACGACTTCTGCTAATAGAAGGGAATGCACAGCTTGAGCCCCCCGTCTCATCAATATCGGGCACCCCCTCAGCTGCCAACACAGCATTCCAAACAGGAAAAAAAATGAACCAGCTGTGACGAACGCTCTGTAAAACAATCATGAACTTTTCATCTCAGACATTTTAGTTCATGACACATGATCACAATGAATTAAATTTTAGTCCAACAACTGTACAAAAACACTCATTTTGTATGCCCGATATAAACGTTATACGCAAGCGTGAAATACACACGTGTATAAATGGAGGGTTGGTTTTTAATTCACAAAATGTGACACGCCTGCAAAAATACCGCTCGCTTATGGATGATATTTCATATATTTTGTTCAGAAATGGGATTCATGATATTCACATTGGCTGTATCCTACAACATGCGTAGATATACAGTGGTAATTCAATAGCTGCTACAGTTTGCTGAATAATATCACTGGAAGCATAAAGCTGATTACGATAAAACAATCACATAAAAGGTATTTTTACGGAAATCCTGTTTTCTGAATAACTGTTATTTTCAGTGAACATGTGTGTTATTTGTACTGTCATATTTCTCATTTTTGGTAGAACTATGTTTTAGCTTTTATTTCAACAGCTAGGGAAATGTTTCCAATTTTTTTATTTCTTCAAAGTAAACATTACGTGGAAAATTAGGAATAAAAAAAAAATGTGCGACATGCGGGAGAAATGTGTTTGGCCAAAAGAATGGATGCAATCGGCAAAGCTGCATTAGTAAGCAGGCCGTGTGTGCAGCGGGGAGTGGGACTTGCGCACTATGAAACACGGCCCTGACCGGCAGCACATGCGTGCATTTGTAAAGGACATTAACAATTTATGTTCAGGTTATTACATTTTAATATCCTGTGTTTTATTGGAATTTTTTTTTTTATTAAGAAGCGATGCAAGAGTAAATTTAAATAATTTACCGAAATAAAAATGTACGATTGATAATGTCTCTTTTGTTTTGGCCACGTAATGATCTGAATCATAACATTGGCTGCAAAAAAACCTGTGTTAAAAAAAAAATGTTCAAAGTTTATCTGTTATGCGGATGACACCGTTAAGCCAGCTGCTATTGTACAGATCCTCTACAATATGCTTTCACGTTGAAAAGCAAACAATCTGGAAATATTACGTAAATTAAGATACGAGGAATATAACTCTTCACGACTTAATTTCAAAGTAGCCATCTCATTTTTAAATGAAATGCTTCCCATAGCAATGAGTCCCATGGCAACAATGCGCAGTGTGCTATTCTTGCCCAGTGTCGTGGGATCTTAAACTTCTTGGAAGAGAGCAGACAATGCACTGCTTATGCTGTGCTTTGACACTTTTCCAAAAAGGTCAAGTTCAGGCCCAAACTGTGAACTTTGGGGACCCATTGACCACCCAGTCTTGCCACAGTAGCAATAACAAAGCAAAAATTCAATGCACATGTTAAGCACTCGCTGCATTATATTTCATAGACATTTTCATTGGAACTATTTCTTAAACGCTGGTAGAAAAAAAGTGGCGTAAATAAAACAAAACAGTCACATTTCAGCAAAGACAAACATATTGAAATAATGCACTTTAGTTTATTTGCAGAAGCAGACTGGTAACATGTGTGTGTTTTTGTGTCAGCTTAACAGTATCCATGAAAAATAGCTACAAGCACTCGCTATAAACCATTCAGTGAAACACCCAAACTCAGTCGTAGGTTAAAGCTGTCTAAAACAAGGTTTTGATGTAATATAAAAAGAAAATGTATTTTTTTATGTATGGCAATGTGTTTTTAAAAGACATCACCACAACACTCTGGCCAATTTCGGATTAAAGTTTACCATGAGCAACATTTAGACATTGGCACGGAATAATCGAAAAACCTTTCAATGCTATTTTTGAACAAAAGTAATTGAATTGCTACTTGCAGGCATGTGGATGACAAGCTTGTTTTCATTGTAAGTGGCAAGTCCCAAATTCTTAAGACTCCTGCTATTTAAATGTTTTCTGGACAATGTGCCCCTGTGTCAAGCTGCCACAAAGATGTTTCAAATCGAAACGCCGAGCGAGCTTCAGTGTTTTCCCAATGTTTAACACGTAACTGTTATCGGTGATGCATTTCATGATATCACCGAGTGGCCTGTGGCAGGAAGCCACAGTGCTGCAGAGGCCGACACAGTGCATGCTTTGTCCAGCATAATGGGGTTTGATTCCTCACCGTGAAAGTTTAAACCCTTTAAGTCGCTTCCAACGTTGTCCCTGTCTGACTGCTAGTAAAACGTTACAGGAAAGACTGAGCATTCCCATTCTTCAAATCCACCTGAGCATCACGGTTAAACTATAGACATCCCTTAAGCAAGCACACAGGCATCTGTGAAAAACACTGAGAAATCTGTGAAAAAGAGCTTCATAGCTCATCGGATTTTTCCAAGATAAATCAGGATTCTGATTCAGGCCCTCTACTTGCAGGCACGCATACATTACGGCAACGTGCAAGCTCTCTATAGCTTGTGTGCAAAAAAATAATGAGCACTATACGACGTTTCACACACGTAATAAGCAAGCATACTTAGTAGGAGATGGCTCCTTGTGTAAGGCTGTGTGGTGGTATTCTCCATAACGCCTTCCTGGGAGGAAATGAAGGGCTGCGCCCAGGGGGGGGTCATGAACGTGGCCAAGCTGTAGCAACAGCCAACCACCTCGGGCTGTATTTGTGTTTAAGAGACATTGTTTACGTAAGCGCAGGCCTTGCAGCCCATTTAGCCTTTGGAGGCTGTGCTGTAACACATTCACTGAATAAACTCTGGCGCGTTTTGCATACACCCATGGCACGTGTGTTTCAAGAACAGTAAAAAAAATCCTCCACAAGCTAAGACACCTCCCAAACATTTCATTCTGCAGTATTTGTACATTAGCATCACTATACATTTTATATCCTGCTCAAGCTGCAGTTCCACTAAGAATGTGACTAATTTAGCGTAAGCATAATTGTAAATAACTCAACGCATTACTATTAATGGATATAAACCTGTATTTAATGGCTCCAAATGTTTCATTCAATTCAATACAGGTTATTAAGGTTATGGTATCGCATTCATGAAATTAATATACTTTGTAGGTTAAATATATGGCTGAAGTACCATGTGTTTAATCGTCATGTTTCTGCCTTGAGCACATGACATTAATACAAACGTATTACATTTTCAGACCTGGGCAAAGTAATGTCCACGCTGCGCTAATCACCCGCAGTGTAGATACATGTATCATTTGTAAAAATAGAGTTATATATCAAAATATTCCCAGTACAGCATATAAGTCTATGTTAATTATAACTTTTATATGTAAATAAAAGGTTATTTAAAATGTATGTTAAAAAATTAAAATGTACAGTTATTTTCAATCCCCCTACTGGGTGGAGGCAGGGCCTAATCCAAATGCAAAATCATAGTCGACTTTTATTCTAAACAAAGTGCATATTTTAAAAGTCACATTAATTATAGTACATTTAAGTGCAGTAATTTCGATAAATATTTTTTTAAGAAAATGAAAAATCTCTTGTGACCGACCACGAGCTCCAACGGTTGCCAAGAAAGAAAACCTCAATAGTTGAATCTATGGAATCGATACAGTACAGAGAGCACAGCACACTGAGCACTCGTGGGACCAGCTGTCAACTGTGCACAGTGGTGTTTACACTGGCCTGCTGCACCACATGCTTTTACTCCCAGTGAGCTGTCAACCCCCAGCGGTCCAAGCGGCCACATAACGTTTGCCATTCACTGGGCCCTTTAACTCATGTGCAGAGCTTTGCACTTGTAATTTGTACTTTTTGGTGAAAAGCTACAGTGCCCATCAATTTGGTCGGCCAGCGCATATCGCTGGAATCATTTAAGTAGTTATACGTTTAATGCCAAGATTTGTCTGGTAACGAAATATAGCGTAACTCTTCCTATCCGTCATGATTTAATCCACAAATCCTATTATACATGGGCTGTGGGGTAGCCACAGTTTCTCATTATCTAAAGAGCCAATAATTATATTTTTGATGGATTATAAAAAACATCAACTTTGACGACAAAAGTGGTTGTGATTGTATTTTCCATGCGTATTACAGAGCGTGCTATACATTTTAGGGTATTTAGTAAAGTGCACTCTGTGAGTGATGTTAATCATACAGCATTACCCCAGAGTTGAAAAACAATTGAAATAGAGGGGCATGAGATAGCCCAGGTTCATGATATAGCTCAGTTTCAATGGGCTGTCCATATGGAGATGTCAGTAAATGGCAGAACATTTCTGTGCAATTTCCCACGACCCCGTAAGTGTCGCGGTTACTGGGCAGTCCGTTATAAAATCCCAGCGCTTTGAATGGAAAGGGTGCACTTTATTGTGAAATCACACCCATAACACAAATTCGAACGTCTTCTGCATTCATAATAAAAAAAACACACAATTACATTGTACGTTAAAACTGTTCAACCAAAACATGCAAATAAAATAGTGTGGTTTTGAATGTAGTGTGTGTATTATACCATTGCCACTTAAGCACTAAAAATGTAACTCAAAAACATTATACGAACGCAAGTAACAAATGATGAATTAATTGAAGAGCAACTCGAAGAAATTCAATTCCAAGAGATTTTGCCATTCAATTGCTTTGTCAGTCTTGGTGAATTGCAGATACACTGCCTTGAAACGTATACATGGGCAGTGCGAATTTCTGTGTTCCATGATTTGGTGTTCGTAGCCAGTCACACACAGGAGTCTTATACAGTATTCTCCATTTCTGCATTAGGTATCTGCATCTTCTACGGTTTGTGCAGATTCGGTTAAGTGCTGCCCGCTGCATGGAGGATGGAAGCCTGGCAATGCGGTGGTGGCCGATGTCTCAATCACTGAGGGTGCCAGGTGTAATGCCTGGTTTATCACCACATTGCAGATCAGCCGCAGCATTTG